GAACGCAAGGCTGAGAGGAGTCAGAATTAGCCAGGTGTAATAATTCTCCCACCCTGTAGCTGGCACAGTAGCTTGACTTAAACAAAGATTCCCATGCATGCCCAAGGAAGCAGCGGGGAGGAAACAGCAAACACAGAAAGGAGCAAGGGGACCAAAGGGGAAAGGGGACCTCATCAGGTTCCTTTAGGTAACAGTGCACATTGGCCTGAGCACCTCCATGTCCTTATGGAGAAACTTGTTGGAGAAACAGGAAAACATTTTTTACTAAACAAAGTGTTTTAATTTTAGAAACCAAAATACAATTGTTTCTAATTTTATTTTATAACAGGATCAAAAAGATCACAATTCAGATGTGACAAAAATTAGCTTTATTTGTTGTCCATAAATGATCTTATCTAAATTCCCAGGCTTTATCCTGCTTCTGGGTGGGGACGCGAGGGGATCTGAGAGGGGAGAGAGGTATGTAGGTCAGAGTCCCGGTAGAAAAAAGATTCACACTCAAACTAGAAATGGAGAAAAGTTTAATGGGGGATTGTTTGTTTGGGTTTTTTTACGTGTGCGAAGAGTTTAGGGAAACCAACTAGAAATAGTGCAATATTCCGAGATTCACAATAGCTGGCAGCCTTTTAAGGGCCAGGGTTGTGGGCAGTTTCCAGAACCCAGAAAGAGAGCTATATAGAGAAGGGCTGCAAGGAGCTCGGGCTGTTCAGAGAAGCAGAGAGCTGTCACCCTGGCAGGAGGGCTCCAGGGGCATCCTTACTCTGCCCTAATCTCCTCCCACCCTTCAGTCTCCTGCTAACTCCCCCCATTAGCCAAATGCAGCCAAAAGCCAGAGAGCAAGCACGTACATGAGGCAAGCCATGTATGTCAGCCTCTCTGGGCACAAAATAGAGTGGAAAAGAACAGAGTGCACATAGGGAGGGCCAGACGGGCACCTTCCATATCTTTTGTTCTCAGCACTCACTCTTGTCTTTGTCCAGGTGAAAAATGTATGTCCCCAACACTGGAAACACGTAGAATGATGTCAGTGTGGTCATTCGAAAACTAAAATATTAGCCATCACAAGTAGTCTTCATATAAGGGGGAGGATGGGACAGGAGAGGACAAGCAATGAGTTAATAGAAGGCATATCTGCTCCAGTTCCTGCTTTTATAGCTGTTCACAAGACCTGATCATGTATTAATAATCATGGTGTATTAGTCCATTTTGTGTCGCTATAACAAAATACACGGAACTGGGTAATTATAAAGAAAAACGAAATTAATTGCTTACAGTTTCTAAGGCTGGGAAGTCCAAAGTCCATCTGATGGTGGTGACAGTGACCCAGGGGTCTCACATTGCGAGGTAGTGGAAGCAGAGAGAGCAGAGAGAGCAAGACAGACAGACTCTCCTCTTCTTTTAAAGCCCTCAGAACCATGCCCTCGACCACCATTTTTAATCCATTCACTACTGCAGGGTCCTACAATCCAATCACCTATTTAAGGCTCCACCTTTCAATTACCTAAAGAGGATTTCCCACCCTCTTAACAGTCACAGTGGGGGCTAAGATTCTAATACATAAACTTGGGGGACACAATTCAAGCTTCAGTGAGTTTGGAGGGACATAATTCAATCCACTACACATTGGTTCCCTCTTCCTCCACCCATTCCATTTTCCCCTTACCCTCTGCCCACACCTTAGTTGAATGGAGTCCTTCATCTGGGAAAGTGACTTAAACCCTCATTCCTGTGCAATGGAGCATTTGATAATCCAGTCTCTTTTGGGCTGATGTAATCTTCCACGGATGAGACTACAGAGCAATGGGGTGTAACAAAACAATCCTGTGAATCCCCTTGGTTTGGTTACGGTCCCCCTGGCCCTTATGGTGTAGCAGTAAAGCAGTTTTCTCTTTGTGACCAGGATCAGTCGTCTCAGCCTTCTCCACCTGTTTTTTCAACAGTGAACATCCCTTGAAAGCAGATTTTAAAGGTAAATTCACTGCGCCTGTGGTTACTTCAGTGACAAGAGGACCTCAGCCTTCTACCCTGCGTAGTCCTTCATTCTCCTCACCTAATGTTACTATCTTTACTCAAATCTTAGATCTTAACCTCCTTTTAGAACAAAAATCACCTCACTTTAATTTCTATGTGAAGCACTGCAGGCCAGTGAGCAATATGAGGTACTTCAAAAAGTTCGTGGAAAGAGTCACATTATCTTTCAATACTATTTTTCCATGAACTTTCTGAAGTACCTCAATATAGTGTAACTGAAGAACCAGAAGAAAAGCTAAAGGCTTACTTTTCCTGTTAGTGCCTATGATCTCTTATTTTCCAGGAAATCCACACTTGGTGTCACAGTGACAGTCACACACCGGTTTTCTCAGGCTCTGCTCCCAGCCACTCCAGTGCAATCATCACCTCTTTCTAAACTCTGGCCCTGGCCTTGCTTCTATTCTTACTCCTTCCAAATTTCCTCTCCATCAGCAGCCAGAGGGATGTTTATAAAGCATGAGTCATATCAAGTCATTCCCACACTCAAATCCTCCATTGCCTTCTCATCAGCCTTAGGACAAAATCCAAAGTCCTGCTCTGACCTTCAAAGCCCTATGTACGTGGTCCCAGCCAACCCTCTGGCCTCACCTTCAACTTCGCCCCTCATTCACCCTGCTCCAGCCCCAACCTCCTTGCTATCTCTTAAACCCACCAAACTTGCCCCATCTCAGGGCTGTCCCCCAGATATTCACTGGCTCAGGCCTTCACTCCATTCACGTATCTGCTCCTTTAAGAGGCCTTCCCTGATCTCCTCTAAAACAACCCCCATCAAGTTCTACCCCCTGTGCCTGACTTTGTTTCCCTTCATAGCACTTACCAGTGCATGTCGTTATACTGTTGTCTTCGGTTACATCCACATTAGAGTGTGAGTTCCAGGAGGACAGGGGCTCTGTCTGTACATTGTTCACCACTGTATCCCACAGCATAAAGTTAGCACCCAATACGTACACAATGAAAATTAAATGAATGGCCAAAGTAAATCAATTACTTATTTCATAACAACAAAGAAAAATGAAGTGGGGTGATGGGGGTGTGGAGGGGTGGTGAGGAGGCTCTCCTTATGGGAAGCTCGTTCTGTGCACAGACAGCAGCAAACGCAAAGGCTCCTGGGCAGGAGTGAGGCTGGGGTGGGAGGCCCAGGTGGCTGCCCCAGCGGGAGCAGGGAGGGTGGGAGGAGGCGGGCGTGACACCAGCTTTGGAGTTCATTCTCCATGGGAAGGGAAGCCGTTGGCAAGCAGGGAAGTGCCCAAGCTAATGTTTTTGTTTTTTAAGTTTACTTTGGCTACTGGGTTGAAAATAGACAGTAGAAGGACATTTAGAAACTTTTATGGTAAGTCAGGGGAGAGATGATAGTGGCTGGGTAGGATTTAGCCATTGAGGAAATGAGAAGTGAGCAGATTCAGCCATTATTTTGGAGTTAAAGCAGACAAGATTTCTGACACAATTAGTGTGCAGGGTTAGATAAGGAGAGGCCAAGGCTGACGATAGCTGCTCCTGAAATACATGTGACAGTATGGAAAGGTTTTTAAAATCTCTTAGAGAAATCTTCCGATTTTAGGGGTGTTCTTCCACTTATGGCTCAATTTTTTCAAGATTGTCCAAAACAAGTACAATATCAAATTTTACTCAAGTCATTACACTCAGACTGATTTGGAAGAAGAAAGACCTAAACCTCAGCTTATCTCAGAAATAATTATAATTCTATCATCCCTGAAGCTCATCATTGGTGCCTCTCAGCATTTGGAGCCCAAACCCACTGTTAACTCTTCTTTAACCACGCGTGAACCTGCAGTTTACGTATGTGCTCACCTCTCACCTCTCACCACGGGCTTGACCTATCCTGCAGGAACTTCACAAATAACCGGTGAGGGACCTGTAGAATAAAATCATGGTTCCTGATCGTTTGCAGAAGGAAACACTTTAGACAGATGACCACTGACTTCTTCCAACTACTAACTTTGACATTCCGTGAAAGGACCTACGTACTCTCTGGAAGCCCCTTCCTCCGAGGAACCACTCTTCAACACGGCACCCTTTGTCTTTTCCTCAAGATGGACCTAGTCCAACTCTTATCTCTACCTCTGCTCTCTCTTCTCTGTACCACTGCACAGAGTTTAAAGATGTACAGCTTTCCTCTGTGTGTGTGTTGTTTGATACCTTGTCCATCTTCCACCTATGAGACTTCTCTATCAGTGCCCAACTCCACTAGCAGGGAACATTCCCAGGACACAGTGAGCTTCTCCATGATCTTATTGCCTTACTTATAGGAAGACTGGAGAATGCCCTCCCTGACAGGCTTGAACTAGAACTAAAACCGTTCATCTACAAGAATAAGGACTCCATGTATTGCTCCCCAGCAACATTCATGCCTTTCTTTTATCCACAAACTGCTAATGATGCAGATGAATTGCCTTCAATTTTTTACATTTTTTCTTTCCGAATTACATGCTGAATCAACATAATAAATCTATATGGGAAATATAGCAGAAGGCTTTGAAATCAGATAGACCTGGTTCAATAAGGATCAACTGCTTCTAGTTATAAAACATTTCTTAACCCTCTCATTCCATTTTCTCATCTGTAAAATGGGTATGATACTAATAGCTACTCATTTGCTTAGAGTCAAGAACAAAATCATGAGAATGATTACACGATAACAAAGGTGATGATGATGATATTAAGCAAGAAAAATCATAAAGCACAAGACTTAGGATTAATAAAAATTTATTGAGGTCAAATAAGCATATTATAGCTCCATAATTGTTGTCATAAATATTAATACTAGCCTTATACTCAAGTAGCAATATCAAATAATGTTTCTATAAATAAATTTACATTAATAAAATGGTATAAATAAAATGCATACTTATAATAATAAATACATTTATAAATATAAAGTATTAATTATGGAAACATGAAGTTATTTAGGTTTTTTTCCCCTAAAGGTATTTACCCAAAAGTAATCTTTTTATGGAAATAGACAATTCCTTAAAAAACAAATTATTTTCTGTGTATATAACACCAGTTACAATAAAATGGTACCAATAAATATCTTTATGCTTGGAAAGTCTACCTCCTCATCTATGGACAAGTAACATTGGTTTTCATATTAAGTTCAGCAGGGGTTCATTTGGAATCCACCCATAATGGTGAAGTTTGGCTTCCCGTTTTCCTTTTGGTAAAAAATTATTTCATGGATACTATTGTTATTTCTAACAGGCAGGAACAGTTAGTTATTCATTTTCCAGCTTTGCTCTGGTCAAATGCAGGCATTTCTAAGGCTCATAAACAGCAAATCCAATTCTCCAATTGCTTTGATCTCTCCATTCTCTCCAAGCTGTGAAAAATAAGAACACAGAAACATCTGAGCATTTATACCATGTTTTCTAAAGAGGAACAAATTAGAGGAAAACGGCATGACTAGGTTGCTAGAGACAGAAATCAAGTTTTAGCCATTTGCAAAAGAATAATAATTAACCCTTTCAGCAAGAGTATAATACGATTTGCCAAAGACCTTATAATTATGGCTATCTGAACTGAGAGGACACCAGCAGGCTCCCATCTCAGTTGTATCTCACAACAATGAAGCTGTTTAAAAGCCAGGCAGAAGGTTGATCATCCCTTCCTAACCAGAGCAAGCAGATTGGAGCTATCTGGGGATTCCTGAGTGCCACCGTATGGCCTGCCCTGCTTTGTAGCACCACAACTGTCTAGGACCAAGTACTTATAACAACTCAGCTCAAACAGCCTTGAACTATGTATTTAGCAATATATTGGGCCTTTTTCTGTTCCCACATTCTTGACAAAAAGAAAAAACACACACACACATTTTCATTTTTGTGGGAAAGATACCAAGTAAGTCCTTTCCGGTTGCTTTAATTAGTAGAAATTACTAGAAAGCCAGATATGGGTCCTAACACCCATTCTTTCTCCTTCTTCCATATGGTATGCAGATGAGGCTCTCAAACTCAGTTGGGGAGAAAACCCAAATTCAAGTCCAAAGCAACTTCCTCTGAAACTCATCTAATCTATTATATTTGTGAAGCTACAGAGAAAAAAGCATAATCACTCTTCCACATGGCAACCCATTGCAAATATGAAAGTTGATTCTGTGAAAGTGGATTACAGGCTTTATAAATCTCTGTTTTCCCACACAGATCACCATAGATTTTTCTCTCTCACACTTCACTTTTCTAAAGACAACAAAGTCAGCCGACATGAGGAATTCTTTAAACAAAAAGTATAGAGCATGTCCTGTCTATGGCAGGCTAACATTCAGCCCTCTGCATCTAGATAATAGTTCTATAACAAGAGAATTGAACTTCACAATAAAAAGCCTTCAATTATCAAAGGGAGAAATGTTGATTATTCTCAGTAAGAAACATTATAAAAAAANAGACTGATTGCTACACTGTTGTTCTTTTCACCAAATAGGTCACACACTGGTATCATTCACCATAGAAATGCACACTAGCTGAAGGAAAACAGATGCTCACGAGGGATTTATCAAGAGAATAAAGGAGGAAACTAGAAAGGAAGATGAAGGGAGGGAGGAAGAAAAGAGGATTACCAATTTAGACTTTCATTTCACTATAATACACTCTTTACTAATATTTTCACTCTCTTTGAAACTCTGCAAAAGAAATTGGAGGTTGTCCACTTTTGCTTTTAAACTAATAGCTGCTGGGTATTACATTACAATAATTAAGTGTAAGTATTAATCATTCCAGAAATTCATCCTATGTGCAAGTCCAGCTCTTTTGTTATTGTTGTTCTGGGTTTATTTCTTCAAGTTTTAAAGCATCAAATTAATGGCTTCAAAAATCAATTCAAATAAATTTGCCCCCAGGCACTTTTCTGTTTTGGAACAAGTGTGTCTTCAGATTGCATGAGTCAATCAGAATCTGAAATGTCCCTAAGAATTAATAAAACCAAAACTAATAGGCATTGTTGCTGGAAAAGTGCTGGCCTGGGATTCAGGGGATTACATTCCAGGCACAGCTCTACCACTGGCCATCCCTGGAACATGGGATAATGAGACTAGATGACCTACATTTCCAGCCAGCTCTAGAATTCTATGATTTGCAAAATTTGGAAATTGATTTATGGGTGTATAGACACATCTATATACATCTGCACCTAAGTAATCAATCTGATGGTAGAATCAAGTAAAAAAACCATGAAGTGGTGGCGGAGGGGAAAGAAAGGAAAGGAAAGAAAAACAACGTTTATCTCTGCTATTGAATGACTTAGCATTAGCAGTTATCAGTCGTACCTTTTTCACTGTGTCCTTCAGCTTTTG